ATATATCTGTAGTTTTTCAGAAAAACCTAACAGGTTAATTTTAAAAAAAAATTGACATCAAAGTTTTCTAAATTTTTTTTCAAAAAGTTTTCCAAATTAATTGGAGTATGTAATTGCAAATCAATTAATTAATTAATATTTAAATAATAATTAATTAATATTTAAATAATAATTAATTAATATTTAATTAATTTGCAAATTATTTTATTAATCAGCAAATTAATTAACCAATTAATTGGAGTATGAGACAATTACAATAACAAATAGTCTGCATTGAAGTAATAAAATACCGATTTTTATCCTATATTGAATTATTTTTTATCTCTCACAGGACCTTCTATGGGCCGAAACGAATGTTGCCCCCTAAAATTATTCCTCATAAGGCATACATCCCGCTTAGTGTATTTCAAAATTGGCGAGTCACCCTTCTCTAATTTCCCTTGTTAGCTGTATTGCCTCCATATTTGACCTGGAAAATTACACTAGACATTTAAAAATATTTAGAGTATTAGAAAATTAGAGTAGACATTTCAAGTGTAATAATAACAGCTTTTCAAAAAAATTGCTTACATATGCAGACAGGGAAGAAATTTTGACCTTCTGGAATTTCTATTAATTCATTTATTTTTTTGATGCAATTTTTTTTAAAGGAATGAAAAGTATCATGACTATAATTTGCTCTCATGAAATTATATAAAAACAAAAATTACTTTTAATTTATATTTACAAATAAATAAATTCAGAATATAATTTTAGAATATATTTTTCAGAATGTAATTCAGAAATAAAATTTCTTTTAAATAAATCTTATCTAAGAGGGCAAAAAAGTTTTCAACTTTTGAGGATTTATCAGCTATAATCTATAAATTACTGCATACTTTATTCTTTTCTATTTAACCTTTCTATATAGCTTTGTAATTAAATTTTTGCATGAAATAAATACACAATCAATAGCATTTGTTTGTGCAGCATTGCCAATCTGTATGGTAAAATTTTTCTTAGATTTCTAAGAGTAGTTAAATCATTTGTGCACTCTTTTCATTTTTAAATTGAATTAATCAGCACAGATCAAGAGAGGAAACTCAGAACAAATAATTATGTCATTAGAATTAATAAGAAGGTAAAGTTTTTCATAACAATGCAATTATTGTTAAAGAGGCAGAATTTGCAATTGCCATTCTGTATTGTAAAATTTTTCTTAGATTTTTAAGAGTAGTTAATTCATTTGTGCACTTTCATTATTTTTAAATAGAATTAATAAGAACGAATCGCGAGAGGAAACTCAGTGCAAGTAATAAGAAGGTTAATTTTTTCAAGTTTTCGAATCAGATGTTATGTTAAGAAAAATTTTTTTTACATTTATCTTTTTTGAATAAAAATATTCATATTCAAAGGACTAAAAAATGAGGTTAAACAAATATTGGATACGACAATATTTGTTTCGACTCACAAATATTGGATACGAACTAGATTTTTAAAAAAAAAAATTTATGGATATTTCTACCCCTAAATTCAAATATACTAGTGGGCTGCGCCCCCTGCTCGCTAACGCTTGCCAACCCCCAAAAATTGCTTCACAATCTTATATGGTTTGCTTCGCAAACCAAACTCGCTACTAACTTGGGTACATTGCAAATGCACAAAATTCTAAGAATTCAAAACAATCATTTAAATCCATATAAAAACTTTTTTTTTAAAAAAAATTACGTCTTTTTAGTTAATACTGAGTCATTAAGATAAATTTGAATTCAAATAAATGACATGTAATTCATTAAGCCTATTAGAAATGTGCTATAGTATAATTGGTAATATGAATCAAGAAATCGTCAAATAAATTCGTAATACAAATTCGTGAAAAAAAAGTGCTTTCGACAAAATACTAAAATAGAGATCTATCGACAAAGACTACACTCACTTCTGTCTAGCTTAATAGTATGAGATTGCTGCAGCTGATGCTCTCTGGTTTTTTCGTTTTTAAAAGCGCTATATGTTGAGCCAACTTAGCTAGATTTGGCATGTGACATTTTTAGCGGCAATCATTGGTCGATTCGCCGTGTAAGAGAAATAGTAACATAAACAAAGCAAAGCAAACGTTGCCACCAGCAGAAAAGGAATGCAGCCAAAATTTGGGAGCCACGTAAGAGAATTATATATATTAGATTTTTCTCTTATTATATTTTAGTGAAGTGAATGATGTTGTTTTTCAGGGTGCTGCAATTATTAGCTGTGATATGGTAGCTCCTGGTCCAAGTGTTGCTTATAGACTCCAAGGTTCTCAAGAATCATACAGACAAGTTAATCAACCTGCTGACATTAGGGAAGGAATAGCAACTGCAATTAATGTTGTTAAAGAGGTAACTTCTTGTAGCTATTATCCTTAAAAATCTTAATTTTAATAATTGCTTTAAATAATACTTAATACTGTGAAAATAAAAAATTTAAATGTTTTTGCATAATCCAGCTGTCTTTTATAGCTATCAATTTTTGTATTTTTTGCAGATGTACTAAAATAATAATTAATGTAGATTAAAGTGTTTTAAATTATTTTCTAAATTTGCTATCAATTGAAACAAAGTTAATTGATATTAGTAATTTGATAATTGGAAAAAATTGCCCATTTAAAAATCGAAAATATTTTTGTTTAGTATGAAAAACCAGAATAAAGCACAAATTAAGTACAGCAGTAAACACAGTTTTGGTTCTCTAGACAAAAACCTTCCTCATTATCTAAACACCAAATGACACTTGAAAAATAACGTTAAATGATACTTTTCAAATGTCATTTGGTATTTAGACATTGAGGAAGGTTCTTTTCTAAAGTAGCAATTTCCAACTGGTGTCCCACGGGCTCCCAGGGACCCATGGAAGAGTTTAGGGGGGTTCGGAGAGTTAGGTTTTTCTTAACCATTTCTTTTATCATTTTTGTAATTTTACTTGTAATTATGTTTATATCCAATAAATAGCCTTTATGCAATTACTTAAAGTAATATGTCAATGAAAAATAGCATTTTTCTAAAAAAGGAAATATAGTTTTTCTAATAACAGAGTACCTTGAATACATTATGAAGTGGATATAAATTTAAAAACAAAATACCCCATCACACTTTTTAAATCAAAATTAAAAGAATTAAATTTGTTTCTCTATTAGCCATTTTCAACAATCGAATGAAAACCATAATATTTTTTAATGTCTAATCATATTCGTTTTTAGTCTAATACCAAAATTTTACACCAAAAATAAATTCAGAACTAGAATACATTCTGCCCTAGGATTGAGAATTTAAATGGGGAACTTAAAACCTACTTTTAAATTATTAATAATAAAACAATGAGGAACTTTAATTTCTCATTTTAAATTTTTTTAAATGAAACTTATCTTTTGTTGAATAATAAGTTCACAATTTTTTTTATATACTTTATTTATAAGTCAGAATTCCGCCAAAAGAATGTTGATCAATTAGGGTTACTTAGCCATGAAAAACTGACAACTGCTGCTGCAGAGAGCCAAAACTATAGTATATCCTTTTTTCATTACTGGATTTGTGCTTTATTCATGTCGTTTTTCACTTTAGTCTACATAGCAAAATGTACAGTGTGCCAAAAAAAAAGGACCATCCTCAATTACTTTTGATTAAATGATCAGATCTTCATGTTCTGGAACTCAATCTTAATGGCTCAAGGGGGTGACCCCAATATGTTAATTAATAAGTGCAGCCGATATTTTAAATCAGACACAAATATGTTCTTTCTCTGAATAAATAAACCTCTTTTTTTTTGGACGAACTTGAATTTTTGACGCCCAAACATATTAGGATAACCACAATCTGAAAAATATGGCTCCAAAGTTTGAACTCCTTAATTTTTGCATATTTCGCTGTATCTTGTGAACTTTTTAAGGAATTTAAAAATGTGTGCATACAGATATAGAATTCATTTATCCAAAGATAACTCCATGCAAAAAAATAGTTTTTAGTAAATATTTATGAATTTTAATTATTTTATTTAATAATGGTCTAAAAATTTTTGAATTGTAAGGTAAGCAGTTTTTTGCATCATTTTAAAGAATATAATTTTACATCGCGAAATACAAAATTTAAGCAAAATCAGTTGAATGGTTCCTGAAAAATTGGATTTCAAAAACGTCAGAAATTGAAAATTAAGATTTCTTTGAAATTATTCAACCGAATTTGCTCAAATTTTATATTTTGCCATTTAAGTTACATACTTTAAAATGGTGTAAAAAATTGTATACCTTACAATTCAAAATTTTTTGATCATCTATTATATATAATTCTCTTACGTGGCTCCCAAATTTTGGCTGTATTTCTTTTCCGCCGGTGGCAACGTTTGCTTTGTTTTGAAAACACCAAAGCATTCTGCCTTTTAATGATGTGTTTCTGATCTAATATATATAATTCTCTTACGTGGCTCCCAAATTTTGGCTGAAGTACTTTGTACAACTAAATAAGATTCTTTTCACAACACTTAAATATTTACTTTATTTTCTTCACCATATTTTATTGAA